CCTCCTCTTGCCTCCTTGTCTCAGCCTCCCGAGCCACTGGGATTACAGGCGTGAGCCACCGCGCCCGGTCCTTGACTGTAGTTTTCACTTATATGATGCTATGTACACATATAGTCATAAATTTTTTAAAAAGGGAGGATACTCTTGGAAGGGGTAGCTTTTGAGCTGCGTTTTTGAATACGTAGGATTTCAACAGGCTGGAGAACTCTTGAATGCAAACAGCCAGAGCAGTCAGGCAGGAGGGGAAAGTAGGATGTATTTTCCATGCCAGCACAAGGTGTGGCTTTGTGACACCGCGAGTGGAGGTGGAGGTGGGGAGGTGGCCCGTCCTAGAGGGAGATCGGGTGGAGAAGGACGCGAGAGAGGGATCAATTTGTGGACTGCTTTAACCTCTGGCACATTTGCAGGTTTCCGTAGTTGGGCAGGGGCAGGTGGAGATCAGGTCTTGGAGAAAGGAAATCGGGTAAGAGGAGCCCCAGGGAAGCGCACTAGCTGGAGCTGAAGGAGGATGGGACGGAGGATGGGACAGAGCGAGTCCGAAGAAGACAGCGCGGAGCGCGGGGAAGAGAGCCTACAGTGGTGGCCACGGCGCAGCGCGGCAGGCTCCGAGCTGCTTCGCCTGCAGCCAGGCTGATCACACTCAACCTTCCCTTGAACCCCATCAGGAAATCGCTGCGAAATCCCTTATCCCCATAAATAAAAGACGACCACAGTAGCAAGGATAGTTTGGGAGAAAACAACAGTGGCCTCACAGCTGTCCCTGTCAGCAGGGGTCTTTAACACCCACTGGCCCCCGGGTTGGGAGTGGTTGATGGAATAACATCGCCTGGATCCTCCTGAGTTGGTTCGTGCTGTGAACCAACAGAATGCCTCGGGTGGGGGAGGGCCAGGGAGCCCTCCCGCCTCCCCGCCTTTTTTGATCATTTACTGCAGCAAATCAGAGCCAGCTTCCAGTGGGGGCAAAGGGGGAGCAGTTGAAGATGGCTGAGGAAGGAGAGGGCAGAGCAGAGAATGTTCTTTTTGTAAACACTTTCAGTTACTGGGCCTCCTGGGCCAGCCAGTATGGAACACATTTGCCAGGTACAACTTGGTTCCCTTCCCCCAACCCCTTTGGCAGATCTCTGAGCTCCAAGATCCTAAGTGAAGACAATTGGATTTTAGGGCAAAATAATTGCAAGTAGTTCCCATGTCTATGCCCCAGGCTCAGAAATTTCTGAAACAGTGTATTTGAGATATTCAATTCCAATCTCCCAAGTAAGTATAGCACTATCTTTCACACCCCTTATTCTGAAGGCTGATTCAGGAAATATGGGCCTAATACATTTACAGTTGCTATTTATTAAACTCTTACTAAGACTCAGGCCCAGTGTTAATCTTATGGATCGGCACATTTAACCTTCACAGAGTCTCTAAAGGAAAGTGCTATTGTTATATTCCCATCTTACAGCTGGGGAAGTGGAGGCTGCAAGAAGTTAATTTTCTCAAAGTCTCCCATCCAAAAGTTGGATGCTGACATTGTCACCTGTCAGTTCAACAGTGAAACATTATGGAAAGATATATTTGTGGTCAATGCTGGTTGACCTTCCAGAGATGGCCCAGCTGGGACTAGGGCGAGGCACTCACTCTTGCAGAGCACAATTTTTATCTTTTTTTTTTTTTTTTTTTTTTTGAGTGTCCCTGAGTTCAAACCAGGAATTGAACCACTGAGCCACACTCCCAGCCCTATTTTGTATTTTATTTAGAGACAGGGTCTCACTGAGTTGCTAAGTGCCTCGACATTGCTGAGGCCAGCTTTGAACTCACGATCCTCCTGTCTCAGCCTCCTGAGCAGCTGGGATTAAGGTGTGTGCCACTGCACCCAGCTTGCAAAGCATAAATTTAAAGGGCACCCAAAATCTCAATAATCAAGACAAATAATGTTTCAATACAATAATTTGAATTATTATCATCTATTTTTTTGCAATGGTGGAAATCAAACCCAGAACCTTCCAAAGACTAGGCAAGCGCTTTATCACTGAGCTACCTCCCCAGCTAATGAGATGCTTTTAAAAAATCAAAATTAATGCAAAAATCCATAGTGAGGGGATGTGGCTCAGTGGTAGAGCTCATGTGTAGCAGGCACAAGGCCCTGGGTTCCATCCCCAGCACCAAAACAAATTCCATATGACTAAAATATTAAAATTTAAAATAGAGAGAGCCTCTACCAGGGACTCAGATCAGCCTGGTGGCATGGGGGTTCTTTGTGGGCCTGTCCCTTCTGAGCTGAATTCCATATTCTGGAATTGGTTGAGTCCTGCTCATTATTTTTCCCTTCCTTGGGCTCTTATGAAGCTGACCCCTCCTGCCTCCTTCTTCTCCTTCAGTTAAATTCCAAATGAAGACTCTAGCATCTGGGCAATAAATATTTCCCTGCTGAACAGAGAGAGAGCCTGGGGCCAGCTGGGCCCTATGCATGCTGCTGCAATCCTGCCATTGCTCCTGAAGGGACCCCACATGGGGAGAGCCCAGGGGCCCTCCTGAGTGGGAACCCTTTCCCACCAAGAGGTTGACCTTATCAAGAGTGTAGGACAGTCCACAGAGGGTGTCCACGTGCTATTCAGGTGGTCAGAAGTTGGCACGTGTGCCTACTCTGTAATGGAGTGACCTCAGCCACTAGCCAAAAGGAAGACAGCACGTTCAGCTTGTGCTGAAACTCCAGATGATGAAAGATTTCGCCTGAGCCCAGCAGGCTCTTGGCTTTGCTCATCCTTCCCAGTGCCCTTGGCTCTCAGTTCCCTGGAAAGTGGCTGGTTGCAGCCATGGGGTGTGAGCAGAGCTGGAGGAGCAGCACAGCAGGCGCCACGGAGGGGGACGCTTTTCTACTGGGCACACAGCCGAGTGGTGGAGCATGCCTTGGGCTCCAGAAGCACAAAGTGGCCCAACTCAGCAGATCACCATCCAGGGACAGGAATAGTTAACTCTGCCTCTGGGGATTTAGCCATGGGAATATAAAGGATCCATCTATATAGCAGCCAGGAGGTCATGCTGTGGTTATTGTCACCCACTGTCAGCACATGACAGGGCTTCGAGCATGGGGACCCAATATTATTTCCCAATGATGATTATGCTTCGAATCTGCTGCAGGCTGTGAGATTCAGAGTCACCAAATCTCCTGGTTTGCCTGGGTCCCTGAGGTTTCCCTGGGGTTTTGGACTTTGAATCCAAACACTAGAAAAATCCTGGGCAAATTGAGATGAGGTGGTCACTCTGTTTTGACCCCGTTCTTGCAGGATTCCCTTCAAACTTTACCTTTTCTTTCCACACATACAAAATCGAGAGACTAATAAAATCTGCTGTCCTGACTTTGTAAATATTTGTGGGACTCAAAAAAGAAGGTCTGGGGCTGAGGATATAGCTCAGTTGGTAGAATGCTTGCCTTGCATGCACAAGGCCCAGCTACTTGGGAGGCTGAGGCAAGAGAATCACAAGTTCCAGGCCAGTCTGGGCAACTTAGGGAGACACTGTCTCTAAAATAAAATAACAGCCAGGCATGGTGGCACACACCTGTAATCTCAGCTACTTGGGGGAGGGGGGCTGAGGCAGGAGGATTGCAAGTTCAAGGCCAGCCTCAGCAACTTAACAAGGCCCTAGGCAACTTAAGAAGGACGTCTCAAAATAAAATAAAAGAGCTGGGCATGTAGTCCAGGGGTAAAGAGCCCCTGGGTTAAATCTTCAATACCAAAATAAAATAAATAAATAATAAATACAATGAATGAATGAATTTGATCAAATAAAATACAATGGGCTGGGTGTAGCTCCATGGCCTTTCTAAGATTCCGCTACACCTTGGAACTCTAGATCAGAGCACATCCCACTGCTGACAGGCCTCTATAGGTCGATCTTCCTCTAGTTTGAGCTCTTTGAGGTCAGGACCACTTTATTCATCTGAGCACCCCTAGTGTGCTTGGCAAAAGGCAGAAGCTCAGGCAGTCTGTGCCAGGACCAAAGCTTTGCATAAAGCAAAGCACTCTGAGTGCTCCTTTGCTTGTTGGCGCGCTCCTTTCCTGGCCTGCCCTTGCTTAGCTCCTGGAAGGTCCTTTATGCATTTAGACCAGCGGGTCTCCCCTGAGCAAGCTGTAAGGAGTGCAGCGAGGCGACAGGGGCAGGAGGCCAGGACACTGCCTTGTTCAAGGTGGGGCTGTGGGGCTGGGGGACCAGGCAAAAGTTGAAAGGGCAGTGAGAAAAGCTGGGAGCACTTTGTGGGGGAGGCTAGGGACAACCACAGCAGGGAGGAGAAGGCCTTCACCATCCTCCAGGCTTTGGGGGTCCATCCCCAAGCTGGGCTTTACCCAAATTCCCAGGCTCAGAGCAGGGCCCTCAGCAGCCTGCCTCCCTAGCTCTTCCCAAGGCTGGCACTCCCTCAGCAGGGCCCTGCAGCACTGCCTTCCCTGAAGGTCAGCCAGACCTTGACATGCTGAGCTGTCCCCTTGGCCTGGACACAGCCCAGCTCTGTAGCCTGATCCCTCCTGGGCATCAGCCCCAAACCTCAGTCCTCTTTCTGTCTCTGTCTCTTGCTTCTCCCATTCCCGCCCTGGGCCTGCTTCTTTGCCTATAGCTTCCTGGAGGTGTAGGGTGGCTCTGCAGGGCCACCCAGAGTCCCAGCCTCAGTCCTAAACCTCTGACCTTTGATCTCAGCTGAATGGTCAGGAAATCCCCCCTCTGATCCTTGACAGTCTGTACCCAGAAGCGCCATCCCATGTGTCCTTCAAATCTTGGCTCAACCCATTTTATTCTCTAGCTGGCACATCCTTCCCAGGAACAAGAGTGCTAGGGACACAGACAGAGCCCCCATCCCCAGAATCCTCAAACTGCTAGAATGGAAGAAACCCCAAGTCTCCTGCATTCAGGTAGGTTAGATAGTATTGTTTGAAATTCATGATAAGGGCTCCTAGGCTCAGAAAGGGTAAGCAACCTCCTCAGTGTCACACAGTAAAAGAATGGTCTACTCCTGTGCCACCTACCTGAACTCTCCTTTTTCCGTCTGGATGATTTCTTCTCCGTCTCACTGGCCGTGCTCCCAAGCACCCCGTAGTCCTCGCCTGGGCCTCCCATGGTGTCTACCAGGCCTGGGCTGCTGGCTCCCATCTCCCTGGAGCCTCCAGCTGGGCCCAGGTTGAGCCTCTGCCGGGCCTCGGAGACAGGGAAGTGCCAGTCAGGAGGCTGCGGGAAAGCGGGGTGCTGCTCAGTGAAGAGGCGCTCCTCTTGGGGTAGGCTGTGTGGGGTGGCCGCCAGGCAAGAGGCCGAGAAGTCGGGGTAGGCAGCTGTCGCTGGGAAGTCTGATTTCTGGTGGAAGGAGAATGGGGTTGGCGGGTAGTGGGGTAGCCCTGAGGCCCCCGTGCCTTCCGAGTGGGGGTTTCGAAGGCAGCCCCAGACAGGGGCAGGGGGGTGGGGGCTCCTCATGCAGCTGCTGGCCACAGGATCCATCTGCTGTCTGCTGCCCACCTCAGTCCTTTCAAAAGGTTGACTCTTTACACTTTTTATATTGAAATTTTTTTAAAAATGCAAAAACAAAAACAAAATTCAATAGGAGGGGAAATGTTCAACAGCAAATTCACTCCAGGAACCAAAACAAAAACAAAACTAAAGTCTCTTCTGAAATTACACACACATGTGGCCAGCGACACACACACGTGTGTGTGCACATCTGTGTCGGGCTTCACTGCTTGCTTCCTGCCCCCCAACACACCAGCCTGCCTATTGGGGTCCCTTGTACATGTATTTGTTGCCGATGGCACTAAACATTTTCACTGTCCCAGCCCAGACGCACCAGCGAGGAGGAGATGGTCCTGGAGCCCGAAGCAAATGCCTGCAGAGGGCTGACCAGGGCTGCTGAGACACACTTTTAAATCCTGTGGTGGGGAGAGAGTGACAAATTTCTGAAGTGTAATGTGAGAGAGGAGAGGGAGGGGTTAACCCGCTCACACAAGGTCCCCTCCAACCAAAACCCGAGCAGGCAACTATTAATCATCAGAAACCTTATATGCACATCTAATGGGATTTGCAGATGGAGACTTTTAAAGAAACATTGTCTGTATTTTTTTTTTTTTAAGGAGAGAGCAGCGCACGCACGCACGCATGCTCACACACACACACACACACACACACACACATGCTGTCTTTAGTGTGCCTCCTGTAACACTATAAAGTTATTTTTATTGCACTGTTAACAAAATTCCCCAAGTCTTGGATTTGGAAAAAACCTTAAGTCAGATCCAGAATCCATCAAATGCCAAATTCCAGGGAGTGAAGTGGGGAATAAGTACAAGAGACAAGTTTGGTGATTGCATTTGATTTAAAGGCCCTTCTACTGCTGCTTGCAAAAAGGAAGGTGGATTAAAAGAAATCTTTTTTGCAAGTCTCAGTGGCCCACTATGGTCTGTGGTATAAAGAAAGACACACACACACACACACACACACACACACACACAGACACATACATATACAAAAAAACCCCAATTCGTTTTTTCCTGCCCATAGTGACATTCTCACCAGCTTTAAAAGAGGCCATCTGATTCTTCTTGCACTTTTTAACCTCTAACTTACATGCCAATTAGCCACACTCTTCTCTAGAGAGATTTCAGGTCATTTTTCTCCATAGCAAAGGCAAGCCTCTTAAATAAAGTCCTTGAAGTTTCTCCAGACCTCCCCCCACCTGCTCCCTGTCCCCCTAACCTTCTCACCTGCTCCCTGTCCCTTAACCTCCCCCACCTGCTTCCCTTTTCAACTGCCAGAGGTCATGGAACCAGAGCATGGAAATAGGACTCAAGGCTTCTTCCCCTGAATAATCCCTGAAGGGGGCTTCCTTTGGCAGACAGTCACATAGGTCTTCTGGGCTGGTGCCTGTCGCAGGATGGCCAGCCCAAGTGCCATTTCAACTGGCCACCATTCCACTGACATGGCCATGCCCTACTGATCTTTTCAGAATTTTAATGTAATTTCTCGAAGGACGATGTTCCAAACATGCCCGGACCAGAGCACATCTCCCCTGGGCATTTCCACAGCACAGAACAGCAGGAGGGAGGCAGGAACAGGCATGGACCTGAACAGCAGTGTCTCTCCTGGTTTGTCTCAAAGACACCAGGTTCCCCCGAGGAGGGCCACTGGGCTTAGTTAGCTCTTCAGCCTGGAGGCAGCGCTCTGGGGAAAGGTGCAGGAAGTGCTCTGGGTGACAGGTCTGGAAAGAGGGCAAGGGGGCCTGGGGTAGGGAGCAGAAGCTACAACTAGTCTTTAACCTAGACTCCAGTCAGATGTGCATCCCAGGGCACAGGAAATGCTGCAAAAGGATGTGGGGTGAGGTATGCACACATCCACACTATTCATGAGAAGATACCCACTCTAATGGAACTAGCAGTTAGGGTGATATAGACCTATAGGAGAGGGTAGGTCACAGCCACAAACTCTCTCATCTGCCCAGGGCTTAGCTGTTGCCCACACAATTCTCCTCTAAGACCCAAATTCTCCTGTTGTAGGTAAAGTATGAATTGTGATTTCATTCTGCAGGTGAGGAAACTAAGGCTCAATCAGATGACTCAGTTGCTCAAACTCAGCTAAAATGGCAGGACTAAGAGTCATTTTTTTTTCCAGTGCTGGGGATTGAACCCTGCCTTGTGCGTATGAGGCAAGCACTCTACCAACTGAGCTATATCCCCAGCTCCTCCAGAGTCATTCTTGAGTGTTCAGCTATCTAGTTTAGAGCAGGACAAATATAAGGAAGGGATGTAGGGTTTGAGATAAGATAGGTCCAAGTCCAATTTGCTGTAGGCCACTTCCAGCTGTGTGTCCTGGGAGAAGTCACCCCACCCATCTAATTCTTTGTTTCCTCATGTGGGGTGATAGTCCTAGCCAATATTCATCCATTAATCTTAGCACTTTACCCATATTACCCCAGTGGGTCCCCACCAAAGCCCTCTGAGGCATGGGCTATTTTCATCATCCCTTTCCCAGAAGGCTGAACTACAGAGAGATGCTATCCACCTGAACCAGGTTGCACATCTGGGAAGAGAAGGCTCCAGGATTCAAACCCAGGAAGCCAGTGTGGGCTCTATTAGAAAGGCCACCCCACTTATGTGAGGGCAGAGTGGACAATGGCTAAGGGGCTTCCTTTCTATCACGATCTAGGTCCTATTATCCTGAGTAATTGGGCTGGGGATATAGCTCAGTTGGCAGAGTGCTTGCTTTGCATGCACAAGGCCCTGGGTTCAATCCCCAGCACCACAAAGAAAAACAAAAAACAAACCTGGGTGATTCTGAGGGAGCGCATGGGACCAGGGAAACTAAGGAAATTCTAGGAAAACAGCCTTGTGAGGTCCTGGGGGGCTCTGTAAGGAATCCGTGTGGGGCTGTGAGGAGGATCTGGCCTGTCAGCTTCCCTAGGAAAATCTTCCTGGGGCCTGGCCTGGCAGGCTGTAACCGGATTCCTGCTCCAACCTCTGCATCTGGCTCAGGGACCCCAAGCCAGGGAGGCCCCCCCCAGCCTGGCCCTTTGCCCCTGGAAAGGGTGGGCCGGGGTCACGGTGGGGTGGGCGGAGAGGTCAGGAGGGGCACGGGGCGGGTGCACGGCAGGGCGCTCTGTGCTGGGAGCACTGGGCCCTGGCACCCCGGCGCCCCAGCAGCTGCCAGCGTCTGTCAGCCCCTGAGGGCGCCGCCGGGGGCCTGCGGCCTCTACATCTTCCTGACAGGCCCTTCTTCTGAGGCCAGGAAAAAACAACAACAGTTCCTCCCCTTGCGGCAACCCATTTGTTAGATGAAGGCCGAGCACCAGCACCTTTAACCTCCTCAAAGTCAGCGTTGCCCTGTCAAGGCCTGGGCCTCGGAGACAGAGATGGATGGAAGTGGCTGTTTGTAGAGAAAGCCCTGTGGCCTCCCAGCCAAGCAGAACCTTCAGGAAGGGAGGGGCCAGGCAGCTTCTGGTCCTTGTCCTGGGGAGGAACAGGAAAAGCCTAAGTCAGGAGGAGGTCCCCAGGGACCCTGAGGAGGGCCCTGGGCTGGCCACACCTGAGCTATCCCAAAGAACTTTTGGAACTTCCTCCAACATGTATGACAACAGGTGTGTCCTTGGCGTGGCCCTCCTACTTCCCGCTGGGTCGGGCACCCATGTGTGCTTGGAGATGCAGGGGGTTCTGGAAGGGTCTGGACCTGGAGGCAGAAATGCAGGTTCAAGGTGGGGTCTTGCTTTTCATAGACTGTGTGGTCTCAGGCAGTGTCAATTCTTCTCTGAGTCTCACTTTTCTCACTGGCAAAATGGAGTTGACAGCAGGGCCTTGTGTGGCTACTACGAGGACAACTGAACTGCTGTCTGAGGCCACGCACCAGGCATGAGGCCCACTATTGTGCCTTCTCTTTCCTTGAATATGATGATCCCCTGGGGGTTACCTCTGGATGGAGGGAGGGGGGAGACACCCAACCTAGTCCCCAAATTTATTCTTTTATGGCCATATAACTCAAAGATCAAGACCACATTCTTGGGAATCAGGAGAGCATGGATTTAAATCCCAGTTCTGCCAGTAATAAGCTGAATGACTCTAATCAACTCACTTTGTCACTTGAGCCTCAATTTCCCCATCAGTAAAATGGGAATAAGCTTCTTTCTTCCTCATTAAGCTGCTGAGAGATGTGAACCAGGTGATCTGTGGAAGCTTTTGACATAGTTGGATACACGGTCAAAACATATGCAGATAATACCTGAGTTCGTTGCCTTAAGGACACTTCCAGAAGGCCTCTGAAAAATACTTATATGCCACCTGAGAGGGGACAAGATGAAGCAATTAGTATCCACTCACACAATAGGACATGGGAATCAGATAAGATACCTATTCCCTGGCAAAATCTTGAGAGATGAGACAGGAGACAAATTTTGAATATGTTGGAAATGGCTGTGAACTAGGATATTCACTACTGGGCCAGGTATTTATTTGGAATATGGATGAATGCCCTTTGCTTCTTGGAAAGCTTTGCGGCAGCAGGGTTACTACTGCCTTCCAGACTGCCCTCAAAGGCTTTACGAGGCTCAGACACTATGGTTTATGGGATGAAGATGAGCAAACCATTCTTACCATTGTCACATTGACACCTACCAGGGGACCAAGACATCCTACCTCAGGGACCCCATAATGGTTCCCCCACCCAAGTCCCCCAAAACAGTGTACTGATGGAGACAAACTCTGCAGATGACAATGTTCTCTTGTTTCTCTATGTTTTAAAACTTTGGAGCTGACCAAAGACACAATAATATGCAGAATGGCCTGGCTTTTGGAAGTCACATAAGCTTAGTCTCCTGAACTGTCAAGTGGAGAATCACTGTATAGATGATGTTCAAACACTCATCAGGTGACAGCCAACGGACATTTCCCAGGGGGTCTGTGCCTGATGAAGTTAGAAGTTAGAGGCAGGTGGACTTACAAAGGTATTGGGTGAGGCCCTGGCAAGGATGGGCCAGGGAAGCTTGCATCAGTCAAGACTGATTAGTTAGGAAAACCCAAGAGTAACAAAAGGGGACACACAGAGTTGGTTATCTTACCCTTAAAAGAAGTCCAGAGGTGACAGTCTGGCCTGGCCTGGCAAAACCTCTAAGTCATCAGGGAACCTACCTCATCCCCCCTCAGCTACTTGTGACCTTATACCCAACTATCATGTCCGTGTTCCGAGAAGCAGGAAAGAAGGACAAATGGACTCTTCCCATCTTCCTGCTCCATTCAAAGGAGACTTTCTACAAATCCTATTCAACAATCACTCTTCAGCCCCATTGACCAGAACTTTCCACCCAGCCATGTGGAACTGCAAGGGAGGCTGGGAAACTGGAGGCCCTAACAACTCTTCCCT